ATTATTAAAAATTAAAAATCAACTCTTGCCCTACAAAACCCTTGCCCGAAAACCATTCCTCTGCTCCAAAACAATTACGGCAACGTCGCAGCCGCCTCTAGCAAGCTATGGAAGAATGGAGCTGCTTGCGGTGCCCGGAAAACCTTCCTCTGCTCCAAAACCATCCAAGCAACATCTTCTTCCTCTCAACTGGGTGACGGCTGCGGCCAGACGGATCTGTAATCTTGATCACTGGGCTACGACGACGGGCGGATACAACTAAACGAAGGTGCGACGGTCGTGATGGCAACGACTGCGGATTTGCTGACCTGGACGCCTATATGGATGCTGATGTGGCAGTCTCCGTTACAAAATTAATGACAGTAACGGACTGTTAGCCATATGTTAACCCACAACAATAGTTATGGCCAATAATTTATATTTTGATAATTATGATTATAATTTCCTGTTGCTTACTATTTATCGTTAATATATTGTATTTACCCCTCAAGAAAGGAGGGAATGGACTATGGAGGATAACTTAAAAAAAAAATTAGCGGACACTTCTAAACCTATCATCCAGCCTCTTGTACACCAAATGTGTATATTACCAAAGAGAGCAACATGAATTCCCAACTCTGTTAATTAATAAAATGGAAATAATTAGCTCTAAATTCATCGAGAGAAAAGGTTACAAATACAGCGACAAGACCTAAAAGAAGGGACTAGAAACTTTTTCGATTGTCCTTACTAAGGGTCTGCAATTGTTCTGTCCGATTCAGATCCAAGCAAACTCATTAGAACTACCGTTTAAGGGTGAAAAATATTTTAAATGGAAGGATTTGACTATCATTAATTACATCTGATTTGATTTTTTTTTTTTTTTTTTTTTTTGACGGGTAACCTGTGAATGTATTGATTATGAACGAACGGTTACATTATCCAGACAAAGCTGGTCAACGAGAAAAATCGGTGGTCTATCGATCCACACTTCTCTACTATCCCAATGGGTCTCGTAGTGAGCCATGATGTGAGCCGCATTATTTGCAGTACGTCTAACATGAGCGATACTGTCCGAGTTGGAGCCATTAGCCTGCAATAGGCTCACTATGCGTCGACAGAGGATACCCACTTCAGTATGATCATCATTCGAATGCTTGAGTTTCTTAACCAGAGAGAGGGAGTCCATCTCAAGAATGGGGGATTGATAACCAAGTTGGTGTGCTAGCTGGGCGCCGAACTCGGCAGCGAGAGCTTCCCCCATCTCCACTTCGACCGTGCCCTGCATTTTCTTTGCCGCTGCAGCGAGGAAATGTCCTCGGTGATCCCTGAACACTGCCCCGAGTCCAATGCCTCCACCCGCGAAGAAGCCGACATCAGTATTGATTTTGATGTGCCCCGCTTGCGGCCTCGTCCACGTTTCAGCGGACTGCACCTCAGCAATGGTCTCGTCCGGCCTTTGGTTCTTCTGGTATTCTTCAAGGAGGGATAACGCCTTTTGAATAATCTCATCTTCCGGCCACTTTGTACCGTTAAACAACTGAGCATTCCGTTCTTTCCAAAGCGCCCACATTATCATTGCCCATCTCTCCACAGTTTCCGTGTTCTCTTGCTGCAGAACCTTCATAGTCCATGATAAGCAGTCCGCTCCGCCATCGATCAGGAAAGGGCTCGTCCAAGGTGACCATCGCCAAATTCTACAGCTCCAGCTGCATTCAAAGAAGAAATGGCGTTGGGTTTCAACTTGATCGCAGAAGGGACACTCATCGGACCATTTCGGGTTCTTTGCCGCCACTTTCTCCCCCGTAGGAAGCGTCTCCCTGGTGAACCGCCAAACAAAATGCTTGACTTTCGGCGGTACCTTCATTGACCAAATTGTCTTCCATAGCTTCTCATTACCACAAGGCTGAATTCCTTCCTCTATCACAAAACCCGAAAGCCACTTCCTGTACCCACTTTTGACTGTGTACTGGCCATTCTCACTATGCCTCCAAATGAGGCGGTCTTGCTCCTCAGCGCTTCGAAGTGGTATTGACAGGATGGACCCAGCAATGGTGGAAGGGAAGCACGCCCGGATTAAGTCCACGTTCCAGCTCTCACTCTCTTGATCAACAAGTTCGCGGACTGTAGCATCCACCGGAAGTGTTGTTGGGGCCGAATCAACGAACGCTGGCTCCCCGGGAAGCCACTGATCACCCCAGATCTTCACCTGTGCTCCATTCCCCACTCTCCATCGCAGTCCAGAACACAAGAAATTTTGCGCACTGAGAAGGCTCCTCCACATATAGCTGGGGTTACTTCCAAGCCTAGCGTCCAAGATTGAACCGTTCTTGTGGTATTTCGCCGCGAGCAGTCTGGAGATCAAAGACTCAGGCCGGAGGTGAAGGGACCACAGTTGCTTGGCGAGGAGCGCCATATTGAAACCCCGGAGATCTCTGAACCCGAGTCCGCCATCTTCTTTGAGGGTGACAAGCTCTGCGCGGCGTAACCAATGAGCTTTTTTCTCTTCCTTTCTTTGCCCCCACCAAAAATTCATGATCATGCTGTGTATCTCATCGATGAGGCCTTCCGGGATTTTGAAAACCGACATCGCATAAGTAAGTTGGGCTTGGGCAACCGACTTAATTAGAACTTCGCGAGCAGCTACTGACATGGTTCTCTCCTTCCACCCTTTCAGCTTCACACGTACCCGCTCCTTCAGGCTAGCAAATAAATCCTTCTTCGCCCTTCCCACCTCCGTGACAAGACCGAGGTACTTCTGGTGCTTATCGACAGCCTTCATCCCCAGCGTTCCGCTCGTGACCAGCCGGTTGTGGGTCTTTACATTTGCTGAGAAGGACACCTCGGACTTCTGGAAATTCACCATTTGGCCAGATTCCAACTCATAGGCATGGAGAATTTCCTTAAGCACCAAACATTCTTGTTGAGTTGCCCTGCCAAAAAAGATACTGTCGTCAGCAAAAAACAAATGGGTAATCACCGGGGCGCCCCGGTTCACCTGCAACCCATGCAGCCTATTCTCCTCCACTGCCTTGGCTGTATAGGTTGACAATCCTTCCGCACAGAGCAGGAAAAGATACGGTGAAAGCGGGTCGCCCTGTCGAATCCCTCTGCCCGGAATAAAGGTCTGGGACTGATGGCCATTCACCAGGACAGAGTATGATACAGAGGTCACTCCCATCATAATCAGTCGGATCCATCTCTCTGCAAACCCCAGTCTTCTCATGACCCCTTCCAGGAAATGCCACTCCACCCTGTCATAAGCCTTAGCCATGTCGATTTTTGCCGCAAAATAACCATGTTTCCAACGTTTGCTCTTCTTCATGGTGTGAAAACACTCAAACGCAGCCATAATATTATCTGTTATGTAGCGACCCGGGATGAAAGCACTCTGAGAAGGGGAGATGATCTTGTCCAACAGAGGCTTGAGGCGGTTGGCAAGGATCTTGGAGACAATCTTGTACATTACATTGCAGAGGCTTATAGGTCTATACTCTTTCGGTGTCTCCGGTTGTTTTGTCTTTGGGATCAACGCAATTAAAGTATGGTTAAGACCTGCAGGCATAACTCCTGTATCCAGAATCTGAAGTACCGCTTTTGTTACCTCTTCTCCAACAATGTTCCAGTATTTGCGGAAGAAGAAAACAGAAAGTCCGTCCGCCCCCGGTGCCTTCCGCTTCCCCATCATCTTCAGCGCCTCCCACACTTCCTCTTTCACGAAGGGTCTGAGGAGTTCATCATTATCTGACTCTTCGATCTTCCTTTGGATTGAATCTAGTACCGGCCAAGACATAGGTTCGGGTCCAGCAGTAAAAATAGATTGGTAATAATCAACCATACAATCCGAGACCGCCTCCTGTCCCCTACACCATTGTCCCGCCTCGTCACGAATCTTTTTTATCATATTCCTCCGACGCCGAGCTGACGCCTTCCTGTGGAAGAAACCCGAGTTCTTATCCCCGGACCTGAGCCAGTCCGCTCGAGACCTTTGCTTCCAATACTTCTCCTCGCTGTCAAGAACGTCTGCCAATTCATCTTCTAGGACCCGAAGTTGGGCCAGAACCTCTTCGGTTTTCCTTCTTCTTTCTAGCGCTCGCATTGCCCTTTGAATTTTATTTTTTTGCTTGCCAAAGGCGGGGAAGGCCCCTTGACTCCAGCTGTCCAAATCACTCTTACAGGTCGCAATTTGTCCAGGACATTGGCTGATGAGGATCTATTCCATGCCCGCTCCACCACAGAAGAGCATTCCTCATGCTTTGTCCACAGCGGGTCGAAACGAAAGGACCATCCCCATTCAACTTCCCGATCCTCCTCGCCCCTAGTTTCACAAGTAATCGGGCGGTGATCCGAGTGTGCCCGATCCCCATGCTGAACTCTCCCATTTGGGAATAAACTTCTCCACTTATCATTAGCAATAAATCTATCCAATCGTTCTTCGATATAGTCGCCTCTTGTCCGCCTGTTTTCCCATGTGTAAAGATAACCATGGAAACCCAAATCTTGACAGCCCAGTTCATTAAGACAGTTACTAAACATGGTCATTCCCGCCTCTTGGACACCCCGACCACCACTCTTTTCTTCAGACGATAATACTTGGTTGAAATCACCACCACACAGCCACGGTCCATCCCACTGTTGGCGAAGAGACCCGAGCAGGTCCCATGTTTTCCACTTATCACCTCCTTCAGCCCAACCATAGATACCCGAGAACCTCCACTTCCCGACCCCTTCACTTTCCACAGCTGCATCAATAAAGTGTAAGTCACGATCCATAACTGTGACCTGTACCTCATCATGCCACCAGAGGCTAAGGCCCCCAGCTCGATTACGTGTAGAAATGACTGTCGGGACACTTTTTCCTTGCTTGAAACCACAAATCTCTCGAAGAACATCATTCTCTGCCTCAGTCTGCTTAGTCTCCATCAAGAAGACCATATCTGGGGACGATCGGCGCAGTAGCGCTTTCAGGGAGTTAACTGATCGCGTATTCCCCAACCCGCGACAGTTATAGCTCAAAATTTTCATTTATGAACTGGAGGGGATAGGCTCCCCGCGCCCTGCTTCGTACTGGGACCCTTCGCTTGGGATCCGACTTGTTTCTTCACTACTGTGTGTGCTGTATTCTTTTTTGCCTGGACTTGATTCTTCATTTTGCCCACATCCGAAGGGGAAACCTGGGTGACCATGCGAGGAGGTTCCTCTTGCTTGCCATTATTTTCTACCACCAACGTTTGAGCTGGCCTCAACTCGGTCCTCTTAGGGAGTGCTTCATTAGCACCATGGATACCACTCTTTCCAATCTCCTCCCGCAGATTCGTGTGCTTCCCCGTGAGGGCTGTGCTATTTGAGTCTGCCAGACCATGGAGGGATGAGCTAGCTTCCTCTCGATGAGTTGGCGTGGTGTCTTCTGGCGCTGTGGTATCGACTACCCGGTTTGGTTCATCTTGCTGTGCATCAATCGTAACATGCTTGTCGTTGTGCTCCTCTTCATCAAGAACTGCGAATCTCGATCCCATTTCCTTATGCACCTGTGGGGCCTTTTTTTGTCCTTCAAAGTTTTGACGTAGATCTTGAGTGTTCCTGCTCACTCCCTTTCCTCGAGGCTTGACCATCATCCATTCCCCATAGTCACCCATGGGCGCTTCACTTTCTGTCTCAGCAGCTGGCGGTCCTTGAGCTGATTCTCTGAACAAGTTTGGGCACGTAACTTTCATGTGTCCATACTTGCCACATTCCGTGCAGATCCGGTGAAGCCCTTCATACTCTACGTAATAAGTTATCCCTTCAATTTTAAACTTCGATAAAAGAGGTTTCGTGAGATCGACTTCAATACTGACACGGGCGTACTTCCCTCGATCACCTGATTCAGTTGCCCTATCCACACGAACAGGTCTGCCAATCTTCTCTGCTATGCGCTCAACTGCATGCTTGTTGATAAATTCACGTGGGAGGCCCGGAAAACGTGCCCACACCATGGTGGAGGCGACTTCCGCTAGCTTCGGGTTAAAATTTTTTCGCCAGGGTCGGACCGTGATATAGAAATCACCGAGCATCCATGGCCCACCCGCCGCAGCTAGTTCGTAGTCAACCTGGCTGGTAAAGCGTACTGCATAGAAACCAAAAGATAAGCTCGACACCTGGATGGAGCCACACTTAGCCCACAGAACTTCCAGCCTGCGAGAGATGACAGGGAAAGGAAAAGTTCGTCCTAACACTTTCACGATAAGGGCTGAGCGCCATTCCCTCCTCCATTGCTGTTTTTCCATCGCCGTGAAAGCTATGGTAGGGCATAACGGATCATCATCGTCTGGTATTTCGTCATCAAGGTCATCCTCCCTCATAGCTGCTGCCACGTCCTCCGAATCCGAATCCGCTACGTACCACTCGTCCACTTGGTGAAGGGTGCTGAACAGTTTACGTGATCCTCCGTTCCATGCAGTTTTGAAAGTTGTTGCCTCGGGCGGAGCCTCAGTTTCCTCCATCGGGGAAGTAGAGTCGTTGGCTACTTCGTCGGTAAAGAGAGGGTTGTCCCGCATCGGTTTCGCTCGTTTCTTCGGGTGCTGGGTTTCCTTGTCACGCTTCGGGTCGGGGGAAGATGTTACAGAAGGTGGTCTTCTACCACCAGCTCCTTGGTCCAGAGAGCCCGCGTCCGGGGGGACAGCCCCCGGCGCCGGCGTTGCCATGAGGGGTTGCACAAAGGGTTCGGCGCTTCTTCGCCAAAAAATCGCCGCTCCGAAGATTCCGGAGCTAGGGTTTTCCAAAGTTTTTTAAAGACAGTGATGTTCAAATTGAAACAGTTACATCTGATTTGATTTAGTTCGACTTTGGTCTTGTTTAAGTGTTAATTCGGTCAACTTTTCTTTAATATTTATAAAATACATGTACTCAAGGAGCGGACAACATTATATTTGTTTTTTATATGGTTCAGCCCAAACATCAATTTGGTCAGGTACGAACCAAACCATTGCACACCTTAGTCTTTACGATTTGATGGCTACTCATAAATTCCTTCCATACGCAAGTTATATATCCCATCTATATTTGAATAATTAAAACAAGTAATTGTGTTACTAAGATGAATAAAGGCCTAAATTGTCAACAACAACAAAAAAACTGATGAATACGTCCTATAATGCGACGCCAAAAGTTTTCCTAGCCATCAACGATTGTTAACCATTGGTTTTTGTTACCACAATTATTTGGAAAGTCGTTTTCATTATCCGAATTGTAAAGGAAATGAACAGAAATTCGTGTCGTGATATTAACTAGAGGCATATTATGCTTGGATTTTGACAATAACAGCAGGCTAGGAATTGCTTCAATGAGCACACCAACACCTGTCATTCCCAATGATTGATTAATATATTGTATATATCTCACAGCAGAGAATTGGTCAAATTATTCCAAAATCGAAAAGCTTTCTCACCAGTTAAATTTTCTGATTTTTAGTGAGAAACTAGGTCTTGGATACATCAAAGAATGGGATTTTAATACTAAAAATAAATCTTCTCGATTACCAAAAAGAAAATCTTCTCCATTTAAATTGTTATTTTTTCCCCTGAAGTGGAAGGTAGTGCCGGTAAGTACTAGAGATTTCGATCTGTGTGACTTAATTGGTTCCCGAAGATACCAAAATCTATGGTGTTGGACGGGGTATAATTATTATAGAGTAAGTAAAGGACCAAGTTGACCAAATGTAAAAGTTAGTAGCGGATTATGTAAGAATAGGATCATTTCGTAACAAGTAGAATAGTTAGCATAGTAACCAAGAATTAGGTAGTTTATTGAGGTGTTTACCCCTAAAAAATAACTGGTACCATTGATTAATTACAAAACACTTAATAACTTTACAAGACACCGGCTTAATGAGACTCCAAAAAAGTAAGTATAGAGATTAATCTGGCGGGGTACCAATCAGATGAGACGCAGGTGTCAAGTTAGCCAGTAGGCAGCCAATGTACCAACTTGACGAGCTCTAAAAACTAAAGTTCGTAGACCAAGCCGACAAGTCACGTTTGGTAGCAAGGCGGCAGGGTACCAAATAGGGACCTATTCAAAATCTAAGTTTGGAGACCACCAGAGGTAGCGAGCCGATGGGGTACCAAGCTAGCAAGAGCGAAGACAATGATGTATCAAGTTACCAAACCTCCCAAAAACTGAGTATGGAATGGAACATAGTACAGATGAGAAGGGCTTGGTGGGGCGACAAGGTACCTACTACAGAATCATCCAAATACTAAGTATGAAGCAAGCTGGCAAGACGATTTTGTGGGAAGCTGACAGGGTACCTAACTGGCAGCGACAATCATTGGCTTCTCAAGACTAAGTATGAAATCTCGGGAGTGACGACTGGTTAAACAAGGTATCAACCCGACGAGATGGACAAACATGTTTGGCACCAAGACCATCTTCCCAAGACTAAGTGTGGGGCCTTGGTTGGGATATGGGTTAAGTTCTCGTCCTGTCAAGGTGGACGATGGGCTAACGTCCCGCTAGGGTGAACTAGTCCTCTTGGGTCTCTAGTTGGTGGTTAGACCTGGCATTTGGTCCATGGGGCGGAGGAGCCTGCATGGGGATCTCTAGTTGAAGGTCTTCGATGGATGCTTGAGGGGTTGGCTATTTGTATAAAAAAATTCGATTTTGGGGGGCATTTAGAGCATCGAGATTCCATTACGAGTGAGGTTTTTTACCCTAGGTTTTTTCCATCTTTTACTCTAGGCCTCATGGTGGGCGCTAATTAATTATGTCAAGGTTGTAGTCGAACTGATTTTTTATGTTGGGCACCAGAGTCGGTTGACAACCATCTTTTACCATGAACTACTCTTGGCCTATCATCTCCGATTGTCTCCTACAAAAAGTCAAAAAGGACTCGTTGGCTTATCTCAATTGGATCACTCTCTAACACTTAATTAGAGAGTGGTTATGGATAAGAGGAATATGGACTCGAAAATAAACATAAGGGAATGGAAATGAAAAGGAATGTATTCGCTAATTATAGCAAGAGTTCATGAGTCTAGACATGTTTTTTCTGCGTACCTTTACCTAGAATTTTGATGGCCTTTATCGTGATTGTCGGGCGATCGTAAAAGGGTATGTCATATGTGTCTTCCTCTGGTAGGTCGAGGGGTAATGGAAGGACGAGTTATGGGACTACATGATCCAAGATGGCTAACTTGTGGGCACCCAGGGTGCTTGACCCTATGGGTGTTGGGTGATTTGGCCCAAAGGGTGACCATAGTGACCCAGTGTGGTTGAGGGGTACCTCAAGTGACTGGATGATTGACCTCATGAGTGGCAGGTTTTTACTCGGGGTAATTGACCCCAAGAGTGCGCAATGTGGCTTGTGTGATTGACCCTAGAGGTGACCAGAGTGACCCGAGGTTATTGTTCATGTGGTGTCCAAGGTATCCCGGGTTGCGCAAAATAATTTGGAGTGCCCAAAGTGACATGGTGTGATTGGCTACAAAGGTGGTCAAGGACTCAGCAAGCTTGTTAGTTGTTAGCAACGGGTCACCCTCCCCTAAACTATTAAATTTCCGTTATATAAAATAAAAAATATAATTTGAACGTAGACAAAATGGTTTTTGTTGGTCATCTTGTTTGTAAGTTGTAACTGACAAGGGCTAAGTTTGAGCCAGACAACATCCAAAATTTTAATGGTTTCATAAATCAACATCACTACTTACTTACCTCCATCATCATCATTGTTATCTTAATTACATTTTTATGTAAAAGAGGGTTTGATCTAATTCATACATTATATAACTATATATTTTTAGTTTAGATAAAATCGTAGTTACCGTTATTGAAATAAATTTATGAACAAGGTTTGGACAATTATGTATTTTTGGAGTGTTTTTCCAAGAATCTATTGAAAATATTTTCTTGATGACCTTACAATTTTTGAACGGTGTGCTAAGATCGATTTCAACTTTTACCTTAATTATATTTTGATAGCAATAGAATGTGTAATTTAATCCATAAATAATGTAGGTGTATCTTATTTTGTCCGATTAAAATGTCATTTATTTGAATAAATGTATGAACAAAATTAATTAAACTGTCAATTAATTTATGTTTCTTCATTTTTTCACGAGGAACAAAAAATTTGACCGCCCCATTACTTCAAATCCAAGTTATTTTCGTCTCTGAAAGTGGCTGAAGTAACCCTAAGATAATTGACAACAACTGCCGAGTACAGTATGTTCGACGCTATTTTTACTAAATAAAACCTTTTATTTTGGCTCCACCAACATCAAAGACTAACCTCCAACATATGATAAATTTCACACACTCTCATGTTACATCTATATTCAAATGTTTAGCTAAGAATTAAAAAAAAATAGAATTAGACAAAGAAAAAAAAACCAAAAAATATGCGCATTCGCAAATCAAAGAAAACAGCGACTCCAGTTTAAGGATTTTGTTGCGAGCCGACTAATAGGTGTGTGGAGCTCGTATTCCTCAAATGCTCCACAGGTAAAATCGGATAAGTGGACCTGTAGGTTGACAACCTTGCGTTTTACTATCAAAATATTTTACTGTGACAAAAGAAAATAAAGATAGTTATAAAAAAAACGACGGATGGATGGATATGCCATTTTTAAAAAAGGGGGAAAATGAAGGACGGGAAATGGGAAAGATGAAAGGAATCTCAGGACCACGTGGCAAATTCACATGACGATGGGCCAGCATGAGAGAGAGTTGAAGCTGTCAGTACTTGGCCCTCTGCTCATCTTCTCCACATTTCTCCACCTTTTCTTTTCTTTTTATTTAAAAAAAATTCCCCTAGAATTAAAATGATTCCAAGGCCTATAAGACCGATAAATAAATTGTTTTATTAAAAAATTTCACCTTTTATATACCATTTACAGAAAGAAAATAATAACGTGTAATTATATTTTTCTTTATAGATAAGTGTGATATAGGTTTACTCTTTTGTGATTAGGTATTGTTTAAAGTATTCGAAATCGAAATCTTCAACTTCAACACCACTGATATTACTACTAAACTAAACTCTTATTTCGTAACATGTAATTAAGCTTTGATAAATCTAGTTCAAATAGTGGGGAAATCAAATTTTATTTTCCACGGCAGAACAAAAGGAGTGAAAAACAACAGGACAGTCATACTCATATTATCTATAACTAGCATGGCCCCGACCATTTGGCCGGAGGAAGATGAGGTATGAAATTTGATAATATAATGGAGTGTATAGCTTATTGTTGTATACTTTTTTTTTGAAACACGTGATAAAAATAGTGAA